GTACAGACGCAAGCGCTCTGAGCACCTTCGTGAGACTGAGTCGGCATCATCTTGAGATTTACGAAGTCACCGGCGCCTCGTCGTCGACGGGAACGTCGCCTCCCACTGAAAGTGTATCGTCGAAAATCCTGAAATAAATCCAGAAATAATGCGAACACCAGGACTTGAACCCTGGTGGGCTGGGGATACCACTGTCCCTCTAACCATCCAACCGCAAGATAAGGTAAGTCTGATTTTCAAACACGCATTTATAGGCAAATTCCTATTTCAATTTCTCAAGTTAACATAATGTGGATAACAAAGGGAAACAATATCATCTCAGAAGGATTTGGTACTAACCACGTTAACCGGTTTTGCCTCCGGTTCAGTTGTATGACGGCCAGTTTTGCCTCCGGTTCAGTTGACGACCACTGCCACGATATCTTTGGTTCGATGTTGTGAACAAACAAAAAGTGGAACTTTAGTTCAAATATTTGAAACCAGTTTTTTTAATATAAATTCGTTTCTATACTGAACACTCGTTTAATGTGAGGCCATATTTCAACTTTGGTGTTGTCCTACGTCTGAACATCAAATTGAGCGCTCATTGTATTTTAACTCTACATACCAGTGTGAATACTCATAAACTCCCACGTGTTTTGTTAAAAAGATACTAAACCACTTTACTAAAAATCCAAATTGTCAATCCTGTCTTGATGCAGTTTTGCAAACTTGTCTGGTTCCAAACTGACTGACACAGGTTAATCACAATTGTACGCGACTTCCACGCAAAACTGAACTGGAGAAGTGGAGCACGTACAGTTCATCGGATTTTGATTTGCCTAACTGAATAATCCACTACCTTGTGTGACATACATTTAGCATGGCGCAAACTGCAGACTGAACCTATCAAACATATGATTACATTCGATTTATGACCGTCGAGTCCAAATGATTTCAACATCTACCAGACTACCACTCTGCCCTCCGGCAGTTGGATCTTGTAAAGACTTGTCTAGTGGGTAGGTGGATTCAGGACTTCCTCACATGAAGGAGCGTGTGGTACAGACAAGTAGCTTCTTCTCTTCTCTCCAGATGATCACTTCCCTTGGATCATCTTTGCCTGCGGAGGAACTCCCGCATTTCTTGGTGGAACTCCGCGTTCACTATCAATCGCATCTTCTTCGCGTCCTCCCACAGCAAGTACCCGTTATCCCTTGCGTGGTCACAGCATTGCTCAAACATGTCCTGGACAAATAAGTGGCACCCAGATGTAAGTATAGTGGTAATCAGACTACTAGAGTACAGGTTTTCAAATGTGTCCAAGCACCGTCCATCCGCAGGAGCTGGCAGGGTTTGGTGGGTGAAAGGTTTATACCTTGCTCGGGAAATCTTCGTATACGTGTGACAGGACCATCTCGACCCTGTTACGGTCGTTCTCCCACAGCCTAATCTGCATCGGAGATTTGGCATTCTTTGGTTTTATGTATCTGTTGAAACAGATGATGTCTGGTATATGAGGGATGGGTTGCTGTGCTTACCTGATCTGTAACATTCTCTGGGACTATCGGTATTTTGTCGATGACACGAGGGTGGGCATTTTGCTGAAGGAATGAAATTATCTGACAAAGAAAAAGAAAAAAAAGCATAACTGCATGTGTCTATGTAACAATGAATCCTGTAGAAACGTGTAATTAAGACGATACCTGTTCAGCAGTGATCCCGTTATCAAATGCACCATACAGACTTTCTTTTGTAATAGCTCCCACAATAAGGTTTGGTAGTTGATACTCTACCCTACAAGACCATATTTGTTAAGGCATTCAACAAAGATTGAAACTGAGAACACAAGGGGTATGAAGGACTAACAAAATACAGCTACCAGTATGCAACTGCCAACAATCTTTTCGATCGATCGTGGAGGGTTAAGACAATAACTAGATTTACAAGCAGAGTCGGGTTCAACATTTTTGAGGGGCCTTGCATCTTGGACGCCCATACATAGTTAGCTTATAATAAGCTAACAGGCAACCCAGTGTTGCTGCATTTTGTATTCCTAGATTTAGTACTCGACTCCGGTAGGAAAGTTGGCATTGCTTAGTTATTCAAGGCATCTCAAAAAGAAGATCAACAGCCCTAGTTGCTGCTTTGAACAAAAGCGAACCAAAGCTGCCAGGATCATCCAAATAACTGAACTAGCATAGAAAAATGCCACTCGACGCAGTTCTGCCAGATTTGGTAAAACAATCTGGAAGCAGTATAGAACCGCTAAAGTGTGCATGCGCACACACACACACACACACACAGAGAAAATGTTAACACTTCTGCACACCGAGCATTTCATGTATTGATAACCAAGAGCACTAGGAACATGCTGGAGCTACTAGCAGTAGCCAAAGTGTAAAAATGCCAGAGACGAGCTAGGTTAAGTCACTCATCTGATGGCTGATGTACCTTGAAAAAAGACGTAGAATTTCACAGTGCAGCTTGGAAGCAGAGTACGCATACAACCTAAAGTTTGTCTCCACAACCACAATACCCTGCCACGACAATATCACAGTATCAACTAGTAGGTGGAATAGTTCATCTTCATTACGTATCACTTAGGTGACAAGTTGGTGGTAGTTATGAAGATCTGGAGAGCATAAAACTGCAATAGCAAAGGAAATGGGATGTTATTAAACCTCTTTGCTAGCAGCTGAATCTGACAAGCTCGATGAGAGATTTGTAGCCAATTTTGTAGGTATGAACCAGCTATCTTTCCGGCCCTGTTATTCTTAACTCTTAAAATCATATTTATCAAGCTGATCAGGAAAAAAATCAAAAAGTTTTACCTGCTGCAGTTTGACTAACCCGAGCTCCATCAGATCCATAATTGCAACTCTTTGGACTTCTGTCAGAGTACTTAGGCTGTAAGCCTGAAGCATGAACAGAGAGATAAGAAAACTTGCGGTCAATTTTTAAGTTGCAACCAACATACCGAGCAGCAAGGTCTGAACAAAAAGATGTGCAGAACAGCCCTTTAACTTCTTTTAAACACTGGAATTAAATATTTCCTTAAGCAATATAATCTGGCGGAAAAACGTTGATGGCCCTCAGCCCCTGCCTATTAGATAGAACAGAACAAATACTAGAATATACTTTAGTATCTTTGAGATGCTCTAATTCATATATCGCATTACTGCTACAATTGATCTCTCTTCAACAAACCCCAAATCAATAATATTTACGTCTGTACACCTCTTGCTCATAATAATATTCCCTACTATTATTGAAAGAAAACTGTGCCGTCAGAAATAGGACTTTAATGATCATTGCAGACAAAGGTTGCGTAACTTTTCACTTCTGAATGGTTCTTAACATAATCTTGTAAAAAAGAATGTTTTACTTTACCGCTCCTTGTGTATGAAAACTAAGCTCCAAGAGAAATGATATCAAGTCCGTGGGATCCACCCCGCGTTCCTATTCAATAAAATAATACAAGTCAGCAAACAAAAATACTCATGTCAAATCAAAACGCATATAAACATAAAATGGCACCAATACCTCTGCGGATGAAATGTATTCTCTCATTATATACCAAAGCTGTGCATTTGTCTCCATCAGCTAGACAAGCGGAGAAGAGTGAGAACTGAAGACGGAAATCTGTCAGATAATTTGTTCAACTGAGCTAAAGCACAAACCAGAAACTGGAAGCCATTCTCACTTAACTTTGCAGCTTCACCATCCCTGTGAAATGTATTGTATTATGAACTCATGATATTGAATTCATTATAAACTTGAACATACAGCCAGTTGAAAAGGAAGAAGAAAGAGAAAACACAGGGCTATTGGCTTTAGAAGTCCCACATCCACATGATTTACAAAAATATCTAAATTCGAATATATCAAGCCAGTCAACTGAATGAATTGTTAGGATCGCCAGTTAATCCCATTTTGCAACCAGGAGACATGAACACAATCAACGTAAACAAACAGCAATTTACGGTCAGCTCACGGTTTCTTAAATTTACTAGTCTAATTTTTGTAAGATATTACTATGTCCATACCGACACTGCATATTATACCTAATTGTACTAGCAAGAGAAAGAGCTAACTTTACATGCCATGTCATTGAAATGAAATTTGGCTGTCATTACTCACTAGTTTATGCGCTACTGATTGTCAAACAAGGGGGCAATTAGATTTGAACCTTGAACTCAGAAGACCTCGCTGGAACGTCTTCATCATAGACGAGCTGAAAGTGGTCCCTTTCTCAACTTGAGACGAGTTGATCAATTGCAGCAAGAAGCACTATTTTACCGTAAAAAAAAGGAACAAGCATTACTAGTTGAAGTGAACACATGTATTCTACCAAATGTGCAAACAGTATGACCCGATGAGCAAACAAAGAAAGGGTCAATGATATAAAATAAAACATGCATGGAAAAAAAATAGAGTATAAGCTTTCTCATCCTAACCTCCCATTGATCAAGAGCATAATTTTCTAGTTCCACCAGTGTAGGCAATCTGCCAGTGACACTGAATGGTAGCGGTTCCCTTGGCAAACACCCGCTGCAGCAGAAAGAAATGGAATTTGACCAACTAGTACTTTGATGGAACTTACGAAACAAAAGCCAAAGCAGTAAAACCTTAAGCACCATCCTGGTGATTTCTAACATAATAAAAAATGATTCCATATTCTAAGATGAATAAAAACATGTTGAAACCATCATAACGGTGAGACAATAAGCAATTAGCTTCAAACAGAAGAATAAAATATCTGTGTTGTATTCAACAAAATAGTTCAGAAAAACTTACCCACTAACCAAATACTTTTGCATGTTAGCCTGAAACTTATTATTCATCTTGTAGCTCACCTCCTTCCTTCTGTATGTGCATCAAAACAAAATGAGCTAGAAATTGCATGATTCATTTGTGGACTACACAGTATGCACACAGTACACGAGCAGGTGAATTAGAAATTGCATAGACTAACTTGCATCATGCAAGTAACTCAAAACCTAATAAACTAAAGAATTCCTATTGCTACACTTATACAGAATAGTCATCAAAATAACGGAGCCAGGCACTGTTTACTACCTCTAATTAGAATTTTGTTTCCGCTAATATTTCAGCAACTTGGTATCCACCATAGATCAAATCGCTCATGCATGCTAAAGATATAACAGATGGCATCGCACCGGCAGCCCTGGGTCACTATGGCAAATAAAAATCACCATTCTGGCTTGTAAGTTCCAATTATTTGGCTCTTTGCTAGTCGATCAGATCCAGGAATGTTAAAAAGATCTTCGTGAAAATCTCAACCATACATACCAAGCACCAGATGGAGGTGGATGAGGTCTTACCTGTCACGTACTTCCACAAATACCCTGAGTTGGAGCAACCTATCGATGGCAACCTTGTGCTTGGAGGCATACTCATCCAGCACCCACTCCTGCATAGCCGCAGCAAGCATCGGTGCCGACACGTACAACATCTGAATCACGTACTTCTTTGCCAGCGGTGGGAACGACCTGCAGAAGTGAAAGTGTGAAAAATCACAATGAAAGCAACAAGACCTCGCCAAAATGTGTTGCGCAACTGGCTGGTTGGAGACCTGAGTACAGCCTCACAGATGAAGGCGGAATCGTAGAGCATGTCTAGTTTGGCGGCAGGCAGTGCGGCCACCATGTCCATGAAGTTCCGCGCGACCACCATCACCTGAGGCATCTTTGCAGCAGCGCCTACAGAGAGCAGGCGGGGTAGGAAAAAAATGAATTAAGCAATAATGATGAAAGCATTTGACAGATACCATAACATTAATGTTCTCAAACTGGAAATTCTGACTAAACTGCGTACAAATCATCCAATGCCTAACTTGGCATAGGTACTAGATAAACTCCCAACAGTTTCATTCAGCGGTAGGATTGGTTACTAAGTATGCCTAACTTGACATAGGTACCAACCAGATCACAACTAATTTTGTCTAAGATGCTAGCTAGACCTGGGGTACAGCCCTATAGAAGATTAAATTGTAGAAATAAGTAGGGCTGAACAAGATTGAATGGAACCGAACAGGCTGAACCCTAAGGCCCCGCTTAGCATCCAGATTATCTTGTGCGCTTGCAATCAGTTCACACAGATATTTTACAGGGTACTAACAAGACCAGCCGATACAAGCGGATGCTGTTTTCCTTGTAATAAATAAATAAAATGTTGTTCGGGTAATTGAAAAAAAAAACGCATCAGGTCATCAAGTAGAGCAAATCTCTAACGCTGCTGCGTTTGGATGTCTGTATTGGAGGCCTCTGTATAGACAATCAAGAGAAGATGGAAGGCTGGAACAATGTTCATATCAGGGTAACATTAAAGCAAGAAAGCTTGGGAAGAAGGAGGGGATCTGACAGCAGAAGCGCATGTGGAAGGAGCAGACGAGATGGGAAACCGGCGGCAGAGGAGGAGGAGGTCCGGTGGCATGAAGGGACGTCGAAGCAGAGGTACGGGAGGAGGAGGCGAGCGGCGGTGGACGGCTAGATCCCGGCCGTGGCGGCCATGGGAGGAGGACATCGAGCGGAAGAGGAGACGGGGGCGCCATGGGAGGAAGGGGAACAAGCTGCGGCGGTGGGTATGCCGTTACCGAAGGAGGAGGAGGAGGAGGAGGAGGGCCGGCGACGGGACTTACCTGGGCCCCGCCGTCGCCTGCCTTGGAGCCGCCTCCTCTTCTTGTGCTCGCGCGAGGGGTGTAAGATAATACAGCAATTGCATATAATACAGTTCATCAACGAGGAATCGAGTAGCAATGCTTGCTGGGGCATCAAACCTGCTGGCCGCTCGCACCGAGAGATAGGAAGAGCTCCGCAGCCGCCGATGCCCTAGGTCGAGGTCGCCCGCAGCGGCGGGGAAGCCAGATGGGGAGACGCCTGCGACCGGATGGAGAGGGGAAAAGAAGGGGGTGCAGCGGCCGGCGGTAGGGGCGTAGAGGCAGCGGCCGGCGGTAGGGGCGTAGAGGCGGCGGCGGCGGCGGCGGCGGCGAGCGCCTCGCCTCAAGCAGGCGGCGGCGACGGGGAAGCAGGGGACGAAGACGAAGCTGGGTCGGGCAGTCGGGCTGATGATCCCTTGGGTACACCTCGTTGATGGACCTGGCTCACCGCGGTGAAGGGACGCACATTTTCTTCTGCTTCTTCGGTTTTTTCTTTCACGCTATTTCTCTAAAATTAACAAAAATATTTTCATAACTCTAATTATTAAAAATCATGAATTTCGAAAACTTTTAGTGAAAATATTTAAAACTTGTTCAAGTTGTATTTGAAAACATGTACTTAGAAAAATTTAAAACTTGTTCAAGTTATATTTAAAATATCATGCATTTAGAAAAATTTAACATTGTTAAAAAAATCATGTATTTAAAACTTGTTCAGGTTGTATTTGAAAATATTCATCGTGAATTCACAAAATATCCTTTGTGCATTTGAAAATTCTTCAATGTTACTTAAAAATGATTTTATTTGTGGTTTAAAATATGTTCATCTTCGACTTAAAAAGTGTGTAACCTTATTAGAAAAAATCCATCATGTATTTAAAAATGTTCAGCTTGTATTTTAAAAGTGTTCATCGTGTATTCAAAAAATTGTTCACGGTTTACAATTTGTAGCCATTTCTAGGCGGACCTAAATTTAGCATTCATCTCGGAGAAAATAGCTAGAAATCAATGTTGGCAACAATTAAATTATCTACTATTTGATTCGCCTCTTTCAAACATCTGTATCATCGACTAAATGGAGTGAGTATTTTTTTTTTTTGCACGGTGACCAAGTCACGTAATTGAACAGAAGTTGAGACAAAAGTATCTGTAGAAATAGAAAGGTTTAAAGGATAGCGTTCACTGCGTTTTAAAAAATTATTACGCATTTTAAAATTGTTCACAGTTTACAATTTATACCCAATTCTACATAGACCTAAATATAGCTACCGTTCATCCAGAAGAAAATAGCCATAAATCACCTCTTTCAAACATGGCTATAGTGTAGTTTGCAAACATCCTAGCATTTCCCAACTATGCACCTTTCTGGCAATAGTTTGACATAATAAGGATATAGTATAAAATAAAATGGAATGAAACAATTTGTATTTAGAACGTAAATATGTATGTGTGTGTACACGGAGTAAGGTTGCCCACCGTTTTGCCGCACAAAGCGGAAGACCCACGCACGGAGGCTGGATTTGGACATCCCCCACCTATGGTGACCCTCCATCGCTTTTCACCATTAGGGCATGTACAATGGGGGCAGCAGGACCGGGACCGGGACCGCACTTTTTTTGCAAGGTTAAAAGGAGTTTATTTCACATAATCATAGAATATTTTTTTTGCGGATTATAATCATAGAGTTACAGTGGAGATGCAAAAGATTCTCAATACAAGGTAGTCCTTGGTGCAACCACTGAACATTGGTGCACTCGATACGACTATAGTTTGCCAAACAATCGGTCACTCTATTTTGATCTATACTGTTCTGTGAAATAAACGCCCTATCAATCATCAAAGCTTGTCTTTTGCGAAAAGATGTCCGTACGTTGAATGTGCCAAGCCTTTATCTGACAAGGTAGTGCATGGCATACTTCATGTCTCCCTCAAGCAAAAAAAAAATACTGGCTTAAAACCTGAAAAATACATGTTGATTGTGAATGTAAAAAACAAATATGTTTAGTATCCCAAGCAATTAACGGCGTCCTAAAAAAAGTCATGTTATCTTATCCGAAAGACAAAAAGGCAGTATTCATGTGTGGTAACATTCAAAGAGCCACAAGTAGATTTGTTTCTGAGCTGACAAGTAGATTATTTCAGAGGGTAGACACGTGTGGCAAGTGTTCACCGGCAAGGTAACGCCCTAGTTATATCCTTTAATTTTTTTGTTGTTCTCTCTTGCTAATTAATTTAGGAAAAGGTAAGCAACAAATACCAGAAGACCAGATGCATTGGCCTGACAATTTATCGTATAACATCTCTAAGCAGAGAAATGCAGTGGATTACCATATAACATCACATTTACCCTCTATGTAGGTGCCCTCACAAATGCGAGGGCCACTTGCCTAGTTCCCCGCACGTTGCGGCGGGAATTTGAAGATTAATTTTATTATGTTTGAAGGAAATGATCCAAATCAAGAGCTACTATTTTTTAATGTATAAATGTTTCATACTTGCACTATGTGTAAAGAAAGAGTATGCATGGGGTTTGTATGGGGTTGCAAAATAGTATTAGTGGATGCTGACATGGCACACACTTGGTGAGGTGGAAGGCCGCATGTTGAGAGAATTAGACTTAGTGGGGATCAACTATTTAGGAATAGTAGATTTGCATAAGTAGTCAAATCACAAGTGAAAGGAGTAGTGATTTTCATCCATACTTGCTATGTTTTTATTTAGTCCGCATATTAGCTTTGGTCAAAGTCAAACTTTGTAAACTTTGACAAAGTTTCTAAACAAAAACATTAACATATATAATAACAAATCAATACCATTAGATTCATTATTAATTGTACTTTCACATCATATAGATTTGATATGGTAAATGTTTATATTATTTTCTATAAATTTGGTCAAACTTTACGAAGTTTAACTTCAGTCAATCTAATGCGTGAACTAAATAAAAATGGAGGAAGTACGTAGTAAGGTATAGTTAAGTGTACACACAGGAATACGACAAATAGTGTGCATTGATTAAGACGATAGGGCGGTTGAAACATATATTTTGGGTGGCTTTAGACACACGGATAAATACGGAGATATTAAATAGTACACAATTTTGAGCATGACAGAAAAAAATGCAGCGCTTTTCTACCACTCACCCGCCAATGACGAAGATCTTTGATTTCTGATATCTCAGAAAGCGGCGATCTTAAATTTCAGCTATGGGCGGTCGAGGATACAAAACATGGCCTACGTCGGTCATTATTCGGGACAACCAAATACTACCTCCGTCCTGATTTATAGGTCTTCTTTATAGTTTGTGCCAAATTTTGACTAAAGATTTAACTAACAAAATGTTAATGCATGTCAAGAAAAATTATCTCATTGGATTCGAATTTAAACATAGTTTTTAAAAGTGACATGCGTGAACATTTTGTTAGTTTAATCTATGATCAAAATTTGG